TTATGCACAACATCTTTATTACTACACTTTCATAACCCAAAAACAAGCAATTATCACACTTAAAACCATGCTCTTAAGGTTTTTAAGTCACATTTCTGACAGCTTGGGAATGTATGTTGAAGTTTATATCACCAGGGCCGAATTTACTGAGTTATAAAACACTTTTTGGCGTCTTTTTTTATGAATTGTGAAGAGATTTTCGCGTTGAGTGGACACAGTTCGGCGTATAGTAATAACTTTGAAACGGCCGACACTGTCGGAGTTGGAAAAAAACTCGTTCATATTTTTAAAAGACACTTTTATAGATTAATAAACGGTTGATTATCGAATAAAATAAACTCACCGCGTTCCTGAACGCAGACTCTGGACATAAAATGCCTAACAGACTAGAAAAAAGGCTAGTGTTTTTTTTTTAGAGTGAATGAAACAGACCTCTGACTTAGTTTTTATTAAATCTTTCTTTTCTGACTCTCAAATCATTTACTTTTGACTCCACAAAAGTTGACAATACTCTCTCAAAGATTTTGTTAAGAATGTAAATTAATAGACGAAAGAAATATAGCTTACAATACGATTAATATAACATTCAATGAATTAATACTTGTTTTAATATTAAAAGAGGATTGGATGATAGTTACGTATCTTTAAAACAGCATAACGGATTTCGTTGATAACAGATATAGAATTTTATCTAGAAGAACTACTGCGTACGAATCCGCTGGCAAAAGCTAGTTTTTCTATATATTACTGGTTTTACTGTTGTATCTTTTGTTAGTAAAGAAATCGACGTAACATAATAAACAAATACAGAAACAAAGAGAACACAAAACCTTAGAAAGTAACGCTTGCCCGAGCAAAAATGCTATAAAGTTTTTGCGACATTGCGCTCCGCTAACGTATAATCTTGTACATTTAATGTCAATATGACAGATGTCAGTTATACAATGCCGCACTTGCATTTACCTTTTACGAGGTCGTAACTTCAACTACTTTGACGAAAGTATTCTTTGGTGTTTACCGCTTTTGTTCTTTGTAATACCAAGGTAAGTGGATCATATAGGATACGAAACGTTATGTCTTTGTTTAAGTTCACATTTAAAACAATTGAGGATGTTACCATTAAGTTTGCCATTTCATAATCTAAGCAACAGTTAAGTGGTATAGTTAGTCAATTTTTTAAGTCGATAACTAAGAGGTTTTAACGATCAGGGCAAAGACTATGCGTGAAAAGGAAATTTTTCGCATCCTTTTCGCACGCGCTCGGAGGCCCATCTTTAGTCCCATTTCCTTTTTCTTATAAGAAAGGAATGGGAAGGGAACGGGACTTGGCGGTGGAGGAGATGCATAGGACGGGGAAACATCTTTATATTCGTCTTCTCCATCGATTAAGGGTAGGCAACGCATCCGCTTTTGCGAATGACTATGAGCAGCAGGCAGCGGTCGCTTCGCCCTTTTGACGGATTCAGGTGGTTGCTTGCTCCTTTGTCACCTTATAGTGTATATAAAAAAAACCATGTATTCGAGCATTAAAGACCAATGAACTGCGCCTTTTATTTCGTTAACAATTGAAACTGTAGTTTATTTATTATATTCGGAATACCTACAACGTTAATCAAAATTTAAGCTGAAAGAGCTTTTATTGTATATTACCTGAAACAAACGCGGCTTGCGGACAGACAGACAAAAAAATTTAAATACGATTTTCGTTATCAGCAACGCAAATACTTCATCTTCCCGAAATCAAGAATATATCTTTTGATATTACAGACACTTCAATCTTATTATACGTACTAGCTGTTCCCGTGCGGCTTTATCCGCATGAAATTATGAAAATTTTATTTTATTTTTACATTTACCAAATTATCAATAGCAAATGTCAAAATGACATGAAATGGTATGACAAACCTTAGCAATCTTTCTTTCTTGATGTTGGCAGCAACTTATGGTCTCTTTCCCACATTAGGGTTCTTATCCAAAACATTTACCCCCTAAGTTTTAATGGCGTGAAAATATATAGCCTAAAGCATGACGTAAGTGTAGGGGTTTTTATTAAGAAAATAATTATTCGAAAATATGCTGTAATTGCTGACATCTTAGGCAACAGAGAAGTGTGTGTTTAGGCTTTATTATAATAGTATAGATAAATGAAATGTCTTTACCTTCATACTTTTAGTTTTAGACTCTAATTATGTCAATAAAATCAATTACTAACGTAGATACTTGTTTATTGAAGCTGTACTTCCATAAAAAAAATAGTAATTACACTCCATTCGACTAAACATGGTGCGTTGATTACGTGTTTTCCTCGTGGTGTGATGTGCCACCGACGCGACCGACCGGCTCCATGAATAATGTAACGAACATTTGTGACGATTCAGCGCTTCGTCACGCCGCTGCGAATTCACTTTTTTTAATTAATAAAAATGACACTTTATACATGTTACAGGTTATTTTTAATTTCGAAGTCGGGTAAGTGGCCAGTGTTGGTGGTGAGAATATGTACACTCTAATGCCTTAATTTAAATTATTACTCGTTTATCTCAGTAGCAGCTGAGTTGGATAAGGTGGACATGATCAGGGTGAGCAGTAAGATAATCATAAAAAAATACTCTTATAATAAAAGAAAAAATAAAATATTCAACTTCTTTAGTGGAGCAAAATTCCCCTTGATTGTGCGCATCACTAACTAAAACTTTTATCAGCGCATCCAATTCCGTTTCTTGCGTTGTTTTTTTACATGTAAAGGCTGAATCTAACTCCTAGATTGTGTAAAGTATTTTAAAATGCCTATATTGCTACGAATGAAAAAAACACTTCATCCGACAGTTCGTATTAAAACTGCAGTACCTTTACGCTTACGTCAATGTTCCACTTTCCTATTTCGTCGTTGAAAAAACTGTACAAAATTCACTTCCA